TGCGTATGTGTGTATATGCGTGCGCGCGTGTGCGTATGTGTGTATGTGCGTTCGCGCGTGTGCGTGTGTGTGTGTGTGTATGTGCGTGCGCGCGTGTGCGTATGTGTGTATGTGCGTTCGCGCGTGTGCGTGTGTGTGTGTGTGTATGTGCGTGCGCGCGTGTGCGTATGTGTGTATGTGCGTTCGCGCGTGTGCGTGTGTGTGTGTGTGTATGTGCGTGCGCGCGTGTGCGTATGTGTGTATGTGCGTTCGCGCGTGTGCGTGTGTGTGTATGTGCGCATGGCGTGACGTGAGATGAATTTGTGTATAGAATATCGATAGTGACACATCGTTGTCGTAGAACAGATGAGTGGCAAACGACTTGTGTGTGTGTGTGTGTGCGTGCGTGCGTGCGTGCGTGCGTGCGTGCGTGCGTGCGTGTGTGTGTAGGAAAATATAGGTGACAGGTGTGAAAATAAATGACAGGCGCCCGTATGCGCGAAAAGTAAAGGTAATAGACGTGCAATTTACACAATAAAAATACGGGTGATAATAGGGTCGATGTGAAAATAACACGTAATAACGACAAGCACATCGTATGTACATGAGAAGTAATGGTGATAAGGATATACGCGAAAAATACACGTGATAACAGACACTCTGAGAAGTAGGTGCTAATGGACAATTATAAACCTCAAGGATGTGTTGTAGTTGATGGCTATACCCATGACGAATAGATAAATGAAAACGAAAGCATTTAAGAGTACTGCACTTCAAACACTGCTATAGGCCTCAAACATTACTCTGACGGTTTCGAATGCGGTGTTCATATAGGGGAAACTGATTCGTAGCTTACCACAATATCCTGGTGTCCCACATACTGTGCTCATGGTTGCATCGTGGGTGATGATCTTGGACAGACCAAAATCAGCTGGAATGTAAATAAATGATAATATATTTGATTAATGTTATTATAATACATAAATATTGATTTAACTATAGATATATCGAGACTTGTAGAAGGCGTGTGATATAGGCTTCGTTACGGCATTAGCATCGGTAGCATAATGCGAATTAATCGGCATGATATATGATCAGCATCGCACCTATTTTCAGTAAGGATTTTTCGGCCTTGTCTTTGTATAGAAGATTCTCCGGCTGCAACATACACTGGTTTATTAAAATGCAATATAGAACAATGCGAATATTTATAATGAAATATTTAGAAAATAATCGCAAGGTTAATCATCAAGTTAATACTGTCACACACCGAATTATTCTCGAACGCGCAGGTGAATTTAAATGAGTAAATAGTAAATTAAATTAAATTAAATTAAATAAAAGTAAATTAAATTAGTAAATTAGTAGTGGGGTAAATGAGGATAACCCCATTTAGTAAACAATTACAAGGGCGTGCCACGTTTGCACAGTGCACGCGCTATCGCGGTATATTCTACCTTCAGGTCACGATGTACGACCCCGTTGTCGTGAAGAAACTGGATGAAGAAGAAAAGACGTCAATGCGCATTTGCCCGTCATAATGTTATTATATGGGTAATTACCCATCTCTCTCTCATTTATAACTCACTAACAATTTTTTTAGCATAATCTATTCACAATTATTTATTATAACCTATTTGCTATTATCCATTATAATATATATATATATATATTAAGAGCGAAATGACTCATAACATTTAGCGTCTATCGACGGTAGGCGTGTGTGCGGTTACGAGTAGGGCTTCAGCGATGGTCGCGGCTTCACTATACCATGACGGCCTGCAGCATCTGGCGCACGCAGACGGCAGCGTCCTGCTCCGTGTAGCAGCCTCGCGCCACGATGCGCTCGAACAGCTCGCCGCCTGTCACCAGCTCCAGCACAAGGTGGATTTCCTCGGTAGTCTCGAAAATCTCCTTCAGTTCTATCTGTAATGCACGC